TCGATGTCGGACGCAGGAGGTTTGAAGCGAAGCAAGGAACAGAAACAAAGGTCAATTTGAACGTTAATTAACGAGAGGAATGTCGGAGGTCTTAAAAAAATCTTTGCCCTTTTCATTTAAATTCGATCGTACTACACAGGCAGGTAATTACAAGCCAAGCTTTGTCACTTGATAGCAATTTGTTTCTTCGTGAACAGTGGATGAACGTCCCCGGATCATCTTTGTATCATTCGTTGTACGCAATATCATATTATACTCCAAGTTGGATACAAATTTTCGTCAAAGAAAAAAAATCTCCTATCACTCTTTATCCGCCATTTACGTCCAATTAATTCGCGACACGCTTAACAGCGATCACGCTCTCCGGCACGCCGTTACGAAAAACGCTCGTGTGAAAAGCACGATGTCGACGAATCCAGCGGAATTCGTCGACACCGTCGACACTTTGCATCGTAACTGGCATCGAATCACGGCGTGAAATTGCCGATGGCCGCGTATAAAAAAAAGGGCTGGAGGGGTAGAAAGGGGCAGAGAGGGGGAGGGGCGGCTCGGCGGGAGACTAGGAATCGAGGGCGGAAAACCGCAAAACCGCAAACATCCTTCGCGTTCAACGGACAATCATATCATTACCTTCTGCGGTCCCGTCATTCTGACACCTCGTTCCGACCCGTCATTTGTCATCGACGTTGCACTTTGCTGCACCGCGACCGCTTAAAGAAGCGTGCCTCCACCACCCGTTCATAGGCGGCGGTTTTCCTGATTGCACGAAAGACAAACCGCATGCCCCTTTTTTTTTTATAACCTGCTGAAACCGCTTTTAATTCTCCGCCCGGGGGAAAGGGGGAAAGAGAGAGAGAGAGAGAGAGAGAGAGAGATGAAGAGGAGAGAGAGGAACAATGGGAAATTTTCGTGTTACGTCGGCCAGGTCATTACGCTGTAATTCTTGTTTCCGGTGTGTCGGGATTTCTCGGTTCTCGATTTTTTAATACGCGGGACGCAACGTAGCTGTACGATAGGTTTTATCACTCGCAATAAATATTGGACATTTGAAGTGGAAAAAAAGAAAGAAAGAGAAAAAAGAGAAAAAACGTCCCGAGACTTTCGAACGGTAGCGTACGCGCGCGTTCATCGGCGTGGAGGGAAGCGAGCGGTGCTTTTTTTTTGGCGAGATTGTATCGATTTAATTAGAGCGGTCGCGTGTTCGAAGAGGTGCACTCGGTTTCGCCGAGTACAGTGGGTCGATTATCAATAGTCGCGATTTGTGATACCTGTGGTCCTGTCAAGTTTCCCGGGTCTTCGTCGTCCCGCTGTAATTGGAAGTTTGATCGTTCGGAAACGATCGACGAAAAGGGCGGAAAATTATGAATTTTTAACGTGTCGTTGAGAATTCGAGTCTGTTTACAAGTCAATTAAGAGAGTCGCTCGATTCTCGAATGATGCCGGTGGTGTCGGTAATTGCTCAATAAACTTCTGCCTTTTTAAAACACGTATACGTAGAGAGAGAGAGACAGAGAGAGAGAGAGAGAGAGAGAGAGAGAGAGAAAAAAGAAAAAAATATTGATCTCTACCTGTTATAAACGGTTCGACTTAACAAACAGCGATGCAGCGTAAAAAGGACCAACGTAAAACGATCGCTTTCACCGCGTATATGGCCTGATCGTCACAGGTCCAATCTCGCCGCACCGATCAACCACAAATACCTAACAATAAAACCTACTCCTACTTTTACCCGCTTGCCAACGAGCCGGCGTGTTTAACGAACGTTCCTCCAGCATCCCGCGTTTAATCACGTTTAATCACCAACCAGACAAATTAGAGAGACCAGAGAAATTTTTATCTTGAACGGTGCGATAAAAATACCAGTTAGCATTAAGGAACAACACAAAGGGTTGTTACAACGCAATCAGCGTCACGAAGATTTTGTTGCGTTCGCGTTTTTTTTTTTTTAATTCTCATCGTCGTGTCGTTTCATTTTTTTTTTTTTTTCAAATTTCGAAACAAATCTACGGGACGCTCGACAATAGTCGTACGCCGATGCACGTTACACGACAACTGAGCCAAGTACGGAGAGTAATTTTAAACCTTGCTTTTCCTCGATTCCACGATTCGCGCCGATATTATTTCGTTTTATTGGCACGCGTTGCAATTAGGCTAATAGGTGAAAATAGAAATCCCGCGTGGATGGCGGCGCGATAGAAAACGCAGAACGAAGCGACAAACGGGGAGAAAGTCGAGGGTAATGGTCTCTCTCTCTCTCTCTCTCTCTCTCTCTTCTTTTCTTTCTCTCTGTTTGTGTTCTTTCTCCGGTTTGGAATTAAAAACAGGATGGAACCGGGGTGGAAAGGGAGGGAGAGAGGGGTTTGAAAATAGAGGGAGAGCTGGGTGAAGAGAACGGAGGAAAAGAGAAGGAAAGAGGGCACGAGGGAAGCTGGTTTTTTTGCCGGCTAGACGGGCCTCGACTCGGCTCGGCTCGGCTCGGCTCGCCAGAGTCGTTGCTCGCGGCGGCTCCGCGTCAATTTGTCGAAATTCGTTCCGATTCGTTTTATGTCTGCCACGCCGCGAGACGCGACCCGCTACCATGCGTACACAATGCCTCTGCCCATAGCGCTACCACGTATCTCGGTTCACAGCGGTTGCAGCCGTTTCGTCGACGATTCATTCTCGAGACCTCCCGAGGACGCGTAAAAATTCGTTCGTCTCTGTTTCGCTGGTAAGAAAAGAGTAGACAAACCGGTCGCTTTCCTGCCCTTTCTTCCCCTCTCTCTTCTTTCTCGTGTTTCTCTTTTTCTTCTTCCATTTTCACTACCCACTTGACCGCGTTCGCGCATCGCCGAGAAATTGTTCGTTTCCCGCTGGGGAATTGTTTGGCGATTAGAGCACGGTAATTGAGCGATTAAGGCCGCTGCCGCGACGTTGTCAGGCATTTCGGCAGAAATGCGGGCTGGTATCGTGCCTCCTGTGTGATATTCTACTTGCTGGTACGACGATGTCGGACAATAACCGTTCGTGCAGTCTCGAAAGTGATACCGTGTCTTCTTTACGTACCTACATCGTTAAGAACGACTGTGTACTTGCGCATAACGACGTGAAAAAAACTCGTCGAGAGTTTCGTCAGAGAGAATTGTAATAGTAATTAAAGACAAAAGTAGAGAGGAAACAGTAATATACGAAATCAGTAATTTACGAGCGTGCGCGCGCGCGCGTTAGTAACGTAGCAACGAGTTTGCTTTATTCCGTAGAATAATATTCTCGTTTAGAAATATTAATAAGCGTTGCCTGCCTTAAGCTCGATCTTGCAATCAGCTAAACACTGATACGTCGCTTAAATCGTCGCGTCTGTATTTTCTTTTCTTTTCTTTTCTTTTTTTTTTTTCTCCTCTTTGATTTTTCATGCAGGAGCACGCCAGGGTTTATTGCGCGCACTTTAAATCACGAGGCTCGATGCGTTCCCGGTTGCAACGCGTGATTGCACCAGCATCGACTAATCTTATCTTATCCGGTGATCCTCTCCTAACGCCGCGCGGTGTGGCCAGCGCGGCGTGGTACGCAACTTTACGCCCGAGAACGCCGTGGAAATATTCTTTCCGCCCTCGAAATAAAAGCGTTTAAGCCTAACGACGGCGTGCGCGGCGCGTGTTCACGATCTCGTCGGTATAAGAAACAGGATAATTAAGGTTCCACCAGTTAGAAAATGCGCAAGGCCAGATTTTATGGAGTTGCACGTTCGATCGGACATCAGCGTTAATTGACGCGTTCCTCGCTTCTGTTTCTTTTTCTTTTTTTCTTCTCTCTCTCTCTTTCTTTCTCTCTGTTCATTTTCTTCCTGGCAAGCGCGACGACGTTCGTTCTCTCGCGAAGCAATTACTCAATTAGAAAAGCGTCGCCGGCAGAAGAGAAATATCGTCGCCTCTGGCGAAAAAAAAAAAAAAAAAAATAAAAAGGAAAAGAAATATCTACTGGCGAATCGGTAACGAGCGGCGTGTAAACGTCGATGTACTTATCGGACAACGATCGCAAGAACGCTCGCCGTCGGACCGCGAGAAAGGGTTCACCTTGCGACTCGAACGTGCATCGCTGCTTTTCGAAGAGAACAACGTTTTTCCTATTGAACTTTCGCTTGTTGCAGTTGTGAACTTAGTTTGCGAACCGAATCGGACGTTAAAAGTCAATTAAGAGCGAAGTAAATTTCAGTCAGTAAATTCAGTAGTCTGTTTACGATAAAACGCAACGACATCTAGAAAGATTTAAACATCGAGTAGGTTTGAATAAAAAGAATTATTAGACTGATAGCGATCTTCGAACACGAGTAACTGTATTTTACAGAGATTATCCGAGCTGAAAGATACAAATTTTTAAAAACTTGAATATTTTTTTACAGATATTTTTGCATCGCGCTGTGTACCCGGATTACGTGTTCTTTTATTTTTTTGCAAGTTTTACACTCCAGCCGTTGGATAGTTACGGTGTTAATCGCTAGTGTATTACGTACGGTTTATTGCGCTGATATCGCAAGTAAATAATTTCGATAAATAGAAAAAATATTCCCTCTCTAATCCCCTGTATTATTTTATTACGCCGCGAGACGTGCTCCGTAACACGCAATACGTTCAACCGTCAACGCAACAATTTTTATACCGAAACGTGTACGTAGCTACTCAATTAGTCCCGCTTTCACTCGGCTGGTCCTTGTTTTCGCGGCTCTCTTTATCTGCATCTTCGGTCGTTTCTCTCAACCGCGTTTTTAATCAACGTTGTTCGAGCCGAGGATAAATTTATTACGCGCCGAAGGAACACGTTCGTCCTTCGTGTGTTCCTCCTTCTTGTTGCTGGAAGAAACTTCGCCAAAGAGAAATGAAACGGTCTTGTCAGCAGTCCCGATGTTAATTAATACTTTGAATCTGCCTCGCGAAATATAATACATACGGTTTGCCTGAGATCCGATTGGATCGCTCGATTACTGGCATTTATCTCACCTATGGCTTTCTCTCGCTGTGTTACAGACACCCCTTGTTCCCGCTTCTCGCGCTGATCTTCGAGAAGTGCGAACTGGCGACGTGTACGCCGCGTGAACCTGGTGTCGCTGGCGGTGACGTCTGCTCGTCAGAAAGCTTCAACGAGGACATCGCCGTCTTCTCCAAACAGGTAAGTGTCTTCGAGTCGAGGTTTTTAAATTTCTGACTGATATCGGTGGTGAGTTTCTTTTTTTTTTTTTTTTTTTTTTCAATTTATTTGTGAATTGCGGACGAGAAAATGGAATAAGAAAAGACGAAAGACGCAAGAGTTTTGCTAATTCGTCTGTCAAAATATATTTGCGACGTGGGACAGCTGCGGTTCATAAGACTATTTCAACTTTTTGCGTTATAAGATTTCACTACCCTCGAATTCTTTTTCTAATAGAGTTTATTTTTTTGATTTCCAAAGAATCATGCCTTTGAAATAAAATATTACATTTTTAGTTAGATCTAGCTTTCGGTTGCATATATCGTAAAAATGTATGAACAGCAAAAAGATCAATCAATCTTTTTCTTCTTTTAAAACAAATGTTAAAGTCACCGGTAGACAAATTTCACGAGTGAACCAAAGTAGAACCAACCCCAAAATACTTTCACCCTTCTCAATTGGAAAAGCAGAAACATTGGTTTTTCCAATTCCAACCGAGCAACGTGGTCACCCGGGTGCTTCGTGAGAGAATATTGGAAAGTAACCTCCTCTGGGCCTCCGAAAAAAAGAAAACAAAAAAAGCAAAAAAAAAAAAAGGAGAGGGGAGAAAGATCTGAAGCCGCTCTAAATGAGTCACGACTCTCTCGACACGTCCTTTCGCTTCCAGCGACGAAATAGCGGCTGCGGGGGCCGTGGACGTGTAACCACGGTGGTTTAGGGTCCGAAGGAGCGCACCAGCTCTCGTCTCGTTGGGACTTATTTTTAGGAATTCCTTTCTGCGAGCATCGAACGAAAAGATCGTTCAGGGCCGCGTTCTTCGAGCAACCGGCCGGAAGAGGACTCGTATTCGCGCTGCTGTTCGCGCGGCGGCTCCTTTTCTTCCACTCTCTCTCTCTCTCTTTCTTTTCGTTCCTAGTTTTTCTCTCCCCGTGTTTCGTGTTTCTGTCCTCGTCGACGTTTCTCACTCCCGGTATACTCACCTGAGGCGTCCTGTCAAGGACACTGCGCGTAGGTAACCGGAGAACCTATACGCGAAATCATTTCGGCCTTTTAAAAACACACCATCCACGTTCCTTGGCCTGGACCGGCGAGAAAGCTGCTCGGTAGATCGGTTTTGGAGCGCGTTCAGGTATATACATTTACCTCTCTCTCTCTCTCTCCCTCTCTCACTGTATACCTTCTGGGATTTGTCCGTGGATTTGTCGTTTCGAATAAATTATCCATTTTCCTTCCCTAAGAGAGAGAGAGAGAGAGAGAGAGAGAGAGAGAGAGAGAGAGAGAGAGAGAGAGAGAGGGGTGAATGGAAAAGCGCGTCGGTTTCTCACAGAGAACGAGCAGAACGGTTTCGCAAAGACACGGAATAACGATGGACACTCGCGCCGGTGAAAAACAAAGCGGAGGCGATTAAGTCGAGCCGACAGTGCGAACGATAAAAATGTTGCCTTGGTGGTTCTTTGCGCGTTTAGTCGATGCAAACGAATGCAGCACATTTAGATTGAGGGATATCGGCGCCTATGTATATCGTAGTGCTAGATAGCCACGCCGTTCGTGGGTTATCTTTGCATAAAATTGCACTTCTGCCTTCGACGAAACGCTCCTCGGTGTTTCTCGTGCCTGGCAGCCCGGCCTGGCTAATTATTCGGAACGAGCGCCGCGCAGAACGCGCATTCTCCGTGAGTTTGCAGGCGTTTGAAGAGAGAAGAGGGTCTCGAGAGGATTACGCGTCTAGCTTTTTCATTCGTTGGGAGAGCGCGGATTTCCAAAAAACGACGGAAAAATCAACCGACTCGTACATTTAAATCGTAACGTCTAAATATAGATCGCCGGTAGCAACCGATTCGAGTCACGACCACGCCGTGATAACGATAAGAGTTAAGCCTCGTCGCAAGGTAGGATAAAGGGGTGAACTTGACGCGTTCGACGCGCCGGGTTAACGTAATTTGAAAGCAACTGCGAAAACAAACTGAAACTCTCCGTTTAAAAGACCGAGGCTCGTGACGAAAGACCGCGATTCTTTCATACCGTACGATCGCCTAGTATTCTCGTTAAATCGTTCGTTCATCCTATTATTTATCCGTGGCGTGTCGACATTATGCCGAGCGTGACAACAGCGCGTACTATTCACGGAGAAGTCCGTTAGGATTGCGAAATTGACATGACATTTGCATCTTAATAAGGTGCATAGTGTTGCGCGCGGCTGGAGGAGGGATGGATGAGGCGAGCGAAACGGCAGAAGAGGAGAAGAAAGAGAAAAAGAAATGTTGAAAAAGAAGGATATACCCGAAGGCTTCGTCGCGTTTCTTCCAATCGCGGCCGCGTATTGCCGAGTCGCGACGCCGTTCGTAACCACGCGCGCCGCGTGTAGTAAATTGCGCGCCGCCTTTTGCACGTTTCCCGTTTCTTTCTTTCCGCGGCGATCCGCGTCGCACAAACACGTGTCTCTCTTTCTCGTTGACGTTCTTTCACGCGCGGACCTCGTATTTCAACCGCGCTATCGACGCAATTAATTTCCCTTTTCTTGTCCGCTAGCAAAGCGAGCCAAGGTTCTCCCCCGTCCCCTATCTTCTCGGGGAAGATGAAAAAGATTGCGTGGCGACGTTGCGAGAAACTTTCGAAACGAGGAAGTGTCGTCGCAGTGGATGCCCTCGCCCGCTAATTCAGGATTACGTGCCCGCTCTTCACCAAGCGGATAAACAAATTGTCGAAGGGGGGGAGGGGAGGGGACAGCCGGTTGTTCCGACCGTGTTCCCCTTTCCTTCGTGTTCTCCCGTCCCTTGCCACCGCAGATAATGAATTTTGATATCGAGTCCCGCACAGGCGTTGCGAAATTTCCCGTAGGTACGTTTATCTTCTCGTTTTCTCTTTGGTCGAAAGTATAGCCGAGACATTAAATTCGTTTCCCTACGTCGTTGTTGGTCGTCGATGGACAGATCTCACACACATAAACACCGGCGATTACAATAAAATCCGCGTTGCCTCGCCCACTCGTTCTTTACTCTTGCCATCGATCTGTCGTCACCGATGTCTAGAGAGGAGGCCGTTTTATAATAATGTCAGCGGCGGTGGCGGCTGGGTCAGCGGTGGCCGGTGTGCGTGTACACGTGAAAAGATAAGCAGGTGACAATCCTCTTGCGGCGGTTTTCGAGGCGTGTCGTTCGAGCCCTTTTACACTCCGTCGATACTTGGACGAAGGGAGATATAGAGAGAGGAAGAGAGAGAAAGAGAGAGAGAGAGAGAGCAGGGCCGACACGCGTGACAAAAGGGCCGCGCGCGCCTCGCGTACACGGCGTTATTCGTCCGCGTTTCGTTTTCGTTGCGTGCGCGGCACAAGAGCCGGGCGCATGCGCCGTGTCCTGCTAGCGACGGTCGGCGCATGCGCAGTCTCAGTCGCGGGACGACCACCGCCGCTGTCGAATCGTGAGAAGCGACGAACCGTGGTGAGAGCGCGGCAAAATGGTTGGAGGGGGCAAAATGAAGGGGTGCTCTCCACGGCCGATGAGGAGAGTGAGCGCTGCTCGTTTTCTGCCATTGTAAATTGATCTATTCAATGGGGCCCCGGCATTATTCCGTGCGGTCCACGCATCGTGCGTGCCCTATGGGATCCGATACATTCCACACGCAACCGAGGTCCCCGTGGTCCGCGCGCTCCCTTTTTGCGCTCGCGCGTTGCCTTCCAGCTTCGGCTTTCGCCTCGGCTTTCGATGGGCTTCGGCCAGGATGGTAGCTGACTGGCTGGCTGGCTGCCTGCAACGTAGCAACGCGCAGCGTCCCGCTGCGCCACGTTGCGCACATTGTTGTCCCCTTTTTTTACCAGATGGATCGGCCGTCCCAGTTTTCGTGCCCACCGAGGGCGCTCCACTGCGAAAATTTCGCTTTCGTCGAGACGTCCCGTCGCGCTGTGTTGCGCTCCGCCGCGCCCAAATTAATCGCTCGTCCAAGGGAGCATCGACGCTCTTTTGTCGTTCGGACGAGAAACTCCGTCGACAACCGTGTCCCACCGAAAAGGAACCTTCGATAAGAGGATTTGACCACGCACTCGCGTCGATTACCTAAGCCGTGCCGCAAAGTAATCGCGCCACCTGAAACGCAAAGGACAAACAAACGCTAGAAAAGAGAAACGCCAACGGGCAAGGACTCATTAAGATTTATCGATGCAATTAGACTAAACCTCCAGGTGCGTTAAACCCTTGCAAAATGTTAGCCTGCGCACTTTGGCCGTCTGACCGATGCGATCGCGAAGCAGCCAGTGCTCCACAGTGCACGTTACTTGCTTTCCCGCTTAGAGGCGTGGACACTGTTTCCTCGGCTTCTACAATATTTCCTTTTCTTTCCTTCGGCCGACGAAACCATTTGCAATTATTTACGATCCTCCGGTGACGATCGTGACAATTTTTGAATGATTTATTATATTCTTCAGTCAGTCGGCCAGCAAATTGTTTACGCTTATAATTTCTCATTATCGGCACATCGATAAGCGCGCACCATCGGCGTGGAGTATTCGACGTTTCCTTTCCCCTGCCCGGGGTTCGAGTGTAAACAAGCGCAAAGCCAGATTATCATAATCGCGATAACGACAACCGCGACGTCTCTTTTGTCGCCCGGTCAGGGTCATGATCGTTGCTTCCAACGATCAATGATGCATCGACTTATCTACGCTACCGGTTTTTCTACACAAAGGTCGGTCGCCGGATTCGTTTATCCGATCGCAGATAATTGTATGATTTTACGAATCTTTCGTCTGTCTCTTTCTCTCTTTCCGCCGAATGGAAAAATTTAATAGACTGGCGCTTTATTGCTCGTTTTATTGGCCGCTTATAAAACGATGCAATTAAACGCGATTACACAGAATTCCGAAGCGTTGAACGATCCCAGCGTAACATTCCCAGCTTATCAATGCTTCGCCAACGGCGTGCCGATCGATTCGTAGCTAATTAACGAAACGAAATTCGCACGTCTAAAGCTCATTCTGCTTCTTCTGACCGATTGCTCCATTTTTTTTGTCGTTGTTGTTTCTTCGTTTGAATTACAGTTTATTTTTTTTAACTAGATATTACAGAGATCTAGATCTAGATAAAATATATATCGGTACTGTACCGCTTTACTGACGAAAACACATTTTTCATTTTCTACGTACAATGACTCTTATTAATATTCGGACATCATGCTGTTCAAAATATTGTTCTCGATTTCGATTGTTTATAATAGTAAATTTGGATTAATTTTTAAATAATATAATAGAACATTCATTATAGTTTATAGTTTATAACGTAAATTTTATTTATTTATTGCACATATTTTTCTTAATATCAAACAATAAACCGAACTATGTCACAAATGTAACGTGGCAAAAATATTCGGACATTTGAAGAACTACAATATTTGAACCTGAAAATTGTTGAACATAAACAATAATGAATATTTTGTTGGGTAGCCCTTAATCTGCCAGCCGTTAATATTAATAAAATAAAAAGAAACTAACAAAGAAGCTAATAAAAATAAACAAAGTGTACGCGTATAAGCGTCATTAAATTTACTATCGGCAGCTTTATGAAAACATTTAATTATTGTCTCCTTTTCCTTTTCTAATATATTAATATTTTATTTACCGGTATTATACCTAACATTGTTTTGATCATCATACTGGTATTCACACCAATTCCGTTTCGTCGAACGTAATCGAATAGTAACCTAAAAATATCATTATTTTACCGGTAATACCGATTCGGTCTTTGTTTAGAACAATTCTTTGTCAAACCTCTTCTACGATGGCAATAAATCAATCACGGCCTCCACAAAGGAACTCCTTTTATGATCCTCTAAATCGTGTTCTTCGAATTAACCTCTTGTCCGATTCTTGTGCACTTAATGGCCAAGTTCGACTACTTTGTCCAATTTCTTTACGATCGTCTTTACACCTCATGACCATTAGTGTCAAGGTCCCTGGTGAAAGTTAACAAGCATTTAAAGCTTAGGCTCGTATCATTTGCGAAGGAAGGAACGTACGCACTTACACACCTTCGACGAGCTTTTGCGTATTGTTTCACTGCGGCTACGTGCCTTTTGCCTAGCCATTTCAGAAAAGAAAGTGCATCGACTATGTATAGAACGAAAGCCAAGGCGTGTCATAAAGGACTCGTCATAAAACTTATACAGGCTGCAATTCGCTTTATAACGTCAAAACAGCCAGAAACAGTTACTTTTGAAAAGACTCTTCTCATACTCCGAAACAGCCCCTTTATTTTGATCTTTCCTCGATTCTCGCCGTTTGGACAAAGTGGTCGAAAATGGAACCTTGAGAGTGGAAAAGTGGTAGTTTTTCGATTTTTGGAAATGTTGGCCAAGGAAACGGAGAAGCAACAGCTACACGGAGACGAGCATCTGCTTCGTATATCTCTCGGAAAGATCGTCGCGCACCACGAACGTGCATACTTGCCTGTTCTGAACAAACGTGTCGAAATGAGAGCATTCTTTAAATATTACCGCGCAATATCTGTATTTCGTGATTGATTGAAAAGTTACGTGAATAAATCTCGCGAAATTTCTCTCTGGTTATATTTATTTATTTGTTATCCTTCGCCAGGAAACTCTTTCGTCCCTTTCATTCACGAAGGGGAAGAAAAAATGAAAACGTTTCGATGAATCTTCATTTTCTTGTACTCGTTAGCGCTGAAACTTTGCAGAATTAAAATAGGAAACTGAACTAAACTTAAAGAGAAACTGTTCTGCTGTTAATGGCGCCATCGTCCAAATCGAACGAGGCATTTTTATTTTTATTCGGAGGCCGGACAATCGTTGAATGTTTAACGGCGAACAGTGTTACATTAATAGAGTCGGTATTGCTTTATACATATGCATAGGCTCGATTAGCTGTCACTCGCAGCTCCCCTACCTCCAATCACCGTGATACAGTCGTTTCGATCGGCCGCGATAGAAGGCGCAAACTCTCGTGTATTTAGATTTTACTTTATCTTTATTCCCGAGACGATTAATCCCAAATAACTATCGGAACTTTTACGTGTTCTACGTAAAATTCTACCGGGCACGACGATAAATTTACACGCTCGTACGTGGACCAGCGGTCGAATAGCCGACGACGAGGAAAGAAATTGGAGAGCGAAAGAGAGAGAGAGAGAGAAAGAGTAGAAGACGAAGCTGCTTACAATTTGTAATCGACGTGGCTACCTGAACGGGCGTTTAGGTTGCCGCTTGGGGATCGTCGAAAAACTACGGTGACAGCATCCTGCAAGAACTAGTTCCCTTCTCCACCTCTACGAGGAGTTGACAGTATTTTTGTGCAACGTACGAGACGCCTTCATTATCCATACGCTCGATGCGAGAGGAAGTTCCATTGAGAATTCAGGCTCATGAATACGCTTCTCGGACCCGTTCCCAGAAATCTCGCGATCGTCTTTCGTACGTCTGGCCGACCGGTAATTCGATTTTAACGTTCGACCCGTTTTTCCACCCGTGGATTCTCCCCCCCCCCCCCTCCCCTGCTGTCGGTCGCTGCGGTTTCTTTTGAATATTTTAATCGTTCGAGGGAAACTTTTAATTCAACGAGAACCAGCGACAGTTGCAAAGCAGTCGGTTGCGACCAATAACAGGGTAATGAATTTCTTCCGGGTGAAGAAATTTGAATCCTCGAATGACGTGCAATTTTAATTCGTTCTTGCGTCGTGCGATAACATTTATTGAAACGAAGTATCATCAGAATATTTATACCTCCAGTTTAGATTGGTTACTGTAGTAGCCGGGCCTGCTACATTAAAATTCTTCGATCATTCCTCCAACGACTCTCGCATGTCGTACGTTTCCTCAAATTGATTTTCGTCGACGTCAGATTGACGTTAAGCGATTAAATTTGCAAATTCTCTCATTAAAAACGAGCCAATGAAATTGGAATCGTACGCCGCTTACCGAGGCAATTTAAATCGACGATGCGAAACTTGTATCGGCGAATAAATACGTTGGGCATCCATCTACGCTATAAATCTCCCTTGATCGATCCCTCATTTCCCACCGAAAACCCCGACGGGTGCCGATTTACGAAACTTTCATCGATTTTGTTCACTTTAAATGCCGATCGGAGTATCACAATATCGAGAATCGCTCGCGTAGCGCGGGTAAGAATGTTAACGATATTCATCCGAGAAGAGGCAGGGACGAGCGTTCTAATCAGATGGCGCGGTTCGGTGTCGAGAGAGAGAGAGCATAATCTGCCATGGTCGGTCACCGGATTCCACGAGATTAACCGGTACTTCCATCAAGATTTGTCGTTCGTCTCGTTCCTTCGTTTTTCTTTCTCTTTTTTCTTTCTTTTTTTTTTCCCCTGGTGGACCTCGGCTCGCGTCCTTTCAGTAAGAACACCGTGGGTCCAATTAAGAGCGGACCCCGAGAGCATCGAGCAGTCTCTGGCATCGAGCTCTCATTCTCTCTCTTTCTCTTCCTCCGTGCGTTTCGTTTCCACTCTGATCAACGCTACGCGCGGCGCCATGAAAATGCTTGTGAATCTCCTCTCTTCTCGTTCCTTTCTCTCTCTCTCTCTCTCGCTCTCTCGCTCTCTCTCGTTTTTCATTCGTTTCTCGCGTGTTCGCGGTCTCGCGCGCTCCGGAGGATCCCATCGCGTTCACCAACGCGTTTCCGATTCCATACGTACGAATTGAACGGCAGGGGTCCAATTAAGAGGAAGCACGCGAAGGAAATCGCTTAGAAAGAGAGAGAGGACGAGAGAGTGACAGAGAAAGACTAGGTTGAAACAACGAGATCTGTGGCTAGCCAAGAGGTATATGGGGATAGAATAAAACGATAGCGAGAGAGGGATATGCAGGACCATCGAGCTAAGAAAGTGAGAAAGGGAAACGAACGAGATAAAGGAACGTGCATGCGCGCATATACGACCGGCGGAGATACGATCGTCTCTATATTTTTAATACCGCAATTACCACCGAGTCTAATTATTAAAAGCTGCTCACGTGTGTGCTCGTCTGTTACAGATCAGACAAGAGAAACCCTACTACATTGCGGATCCGGAGGTGGACTCGCTGGTGAGTACATTATATTATATGTGTATGTGTGCCGTGTCATTTCCCCGGCCGCAGTGTCACGGATTTTTCTACCACGAACGACCATTTCCTTGCTCGATCTACTTGTTTTCTTCCTGTTCTTGCGTGTTTTTTTTTTTTTTTTCCTTTTTTCGTCCCGCTGTACACTTCGAAGGCTAAATCGTTCTCAGTTTTATCTGTGGATCTCGTTCGCAGTGGCCACTCACCGCGTTCATTTTGAAGAATGACGGTGGAAAACGTTTCACCGCCCTCTTGGCCGCGGGCAACGTTTGATTCTCGGTGGAAATTAAGCGTGGTCGGAGCGACTGGAGGAGCGAGACGTTGGAAAAGTCGAGAAACCGGACGTGGATATTGGACTTATTGCGAACTATAGCGTAACGAGACTGTAAACGTTGATATCTGATAATTGAAAAGAAGCAGTTCCATCGGAAATTGTGCCCGGTAGAGTAAATTAGTTTCTTTTACATCGTCGTGGAAAGAAACATTCTGGCTGGGTGGAGTTATTACTCCGTGCGAAGTTCATGAATTACCGGATTTGCGGGGAGTTCAGTCGTGAAGCAAAACGCGTGTGAAGATAGAGGGGAGGATGATAATTAAAAAAGAAAGCAGACGCGAGGACACGTTGCCGGACTCTCTCTCTCTCTCTCTCTCTCTCTCTCTCTCTCTCTCTCTGCGCGCCTTTGTTTCCTCGTGCGCTGGCTGGCCAGCGGACATTCGAATGGCAGACCTTCGAAACACACCGGAGGAAGAGATATTTCAAACGACCCTTCGCGTTCTCCGATCGAGATAACGGATAGTGGCCTTTTTAAATAACTCGGGTGTATTCCTTGCCAGACGGAGGACGTGCATGAGGACCATCGATGCTCGAGCCAGCTCAACGTCCGCCTGCCATTATGGATTCCTTCTCCGAGACAGTACTCCTTCTCCGTTCCTCTCTCGTTCGTTCATTTTCGCCTCCTCTCGATATTTCGCCCGGACGTAGTCGCGAATAATTGGAAAATTAATAAGAGTATCGGCGTGGCGTAATTCAACGCTCGCGCGTTCATATTTTTTGCGAATACGATTGAAGAAATTTAAGAGCTCTCGTGCAGAGAAATTTTCGTACATTTTGCCACGTGTTGTTTTTATTCTCGAACTTCTTTCTTAGGAAGTACGTAAGAGACCAAGTAATTTATTCGCGTGTAATGGCTGCTGTTTGAATAATTATACACGATCGTACAAAGTGCATAGTTTTAAATTAAAAGTACGAAGAAACGTCGTTGTCGCATACACGGTGTCAACCATCCTTGAAAGAGCGACACTGAACGAGCATCGCGATATTTCATCATAAAGTTCGTTCAGCGATGTGAAGGCCTTATAGAGGCGTGTCGTCTGCTCGGGAAAAGGTGTCGCGCGTTTTCGAATATTCGCTCGTAATTCAAAATTGGATATATCGAGCGTGTTAATGGTGAACCGGTGTACGTGTTGTTTCGCGTTGGCTCTCTTTTTGTTCGTTGTTTCGCTACGTTGCTCTTTTTTTTTTTTTTTTTTTTTTTTTTTTTTGCTTTTTTCGCGGAACCCACGCTCGCGGTGGTGCAGCGGTAGAGTGAGCGAAAGAGAGAGAGAAACGGGGGAGAAGGAAAACGGACGACGAGGATGCATTTCGTTGACGTTGTTCGCATCGTTGGCCTCAATTTTTCAAAATGTCACGCCCGTTATCTGAGCTGTCAGGACGGCATCGGTCCGCGCGCAAACATCCACGCAAGGTGTACCGACTCGCATCTCGCGCCGCTGTTGTCACAACTGTCGCTCGGTCTCGATCTGCTGAAACAGAAAACGAACGAAATAAAACCGAAAAAAAAAGGAAGGAAAAAAATGTCGAAACAGAATGGAACAAAACTAAAAAAAAAAAGAGGAAAAGAGAAAAAACAGAAGGGAAAAGAGGAAACCACGTGAAAAAGGACGGGGGGAGGGAAAAAAAACGAGCAAGATATATATTGCTATAGTTGCGGGGTAGTGTGTGCCGCGACTTGTGCAGTCTCGCATCATCGAAACAGCTACCGCGAATTATGCATCCGTGAACGTTGAACAAGTGTAAGCGTGTAACAGCGAGACGCGTATGGTTTTTTTTTCTAAATTTTAAAAGGAAACGAGACCGGACACTCCGGTGATTCCGCGTCGCTTTCGAATATTCTTCAACCTCTCCATCGTTTTGGTAGTAAAATGTATATACGCATATATTAAGGTACCTTTAGATTTCTTTCTTTCTCTTTTTTTAATCAGTTTTACGTGATTTGATAAAATTTACCGTTTAGCGGAAGAAAGTTGGGAGAAATGCCGTTTAAGCGTAATAAAAACATTTAAATTTCAAAATTAAAAAATTTTTGACGGACAACATGATCCTTGAGAATAATTTTCTATTCTCTTTCTGGCGTTTGAATCACACGCCGCGAAACTCATCGACCCACTTACACACGTCATTATTGTACCTGTTGCTGCAGATGCAATAATCCAAAGCGTTTCGTCGTGCAAGAAACACCGATCACAACAAACTGGTGTTTGATCGTCAACCATCCCACGAATTACTTCTCCATCTCGTACAATTTTTCGTCGTCGTTTCCATAAATAATTTCCATATCTACACTGACCCAGGAATCGAAATTTAATTGTAAAATTCACCTTGACGAAGCGAGAAGAGTAAACGCTGTCGAAGGAGAGGAAAAAAGAAAAAAATCGAAAAATCAGTGTCGTGAATCGACGTGGCTCATTCGCCGGCAAAAGCCAGTAGCGTAGCTTCATTACGCCCGTGGCAAATCGCAATCTACCGGCAATGAGCTTGTATCGTAAAGAACAGGCACGTAACATGCGTGGTTTTTGCTGTCCGCGCCCTTTGCTCCCCCCCCTCCCCTCTTTCTTTCCCCTTCCGTTCCTTCTTTTCATCCTTTCCCGGGGCCCTTTCTTCTTACCCTTTCTTCTCTTCCTCCTCTTGCTCCTCGTCGACACGCAGGTTCTTCGCGGCTCTTCTCCCTGCTGTCTCTCTCGCGAGAGACGACCGCCGATCGGCAGAAGCCCCGGTTTTTGCCGCGATTATTTCGCCGAACGGAAAGTGCTTCGCCACGAAAGAGTCTCCCCCGTTACTCGTCGTATATAACTATAGATTCGGCCATAGGTTCGCGGCCACAGAGACGAATGAGACGGACCGAGCTGCTGCTTCTCGTTGATTGGAAAGGTCGCGTGGAAACGACGTGGCGACACGGTCGAGGGAACAGGCACGAAAGGGCTCGAGATGGCAGAAAATTCGACGCAGCTGTGCGCGGTGGTGGCGGCCCCTAGGTGGAAAGCGCGTGGAAAGTGTAGAAAAGAGGAGCGGGCCTCGCCTCAGCTGGGGCTCGCCGACACAAAGGGAATTGTTGCGCTCTTCGAGTGTTTCCAAGCTTTCGAGTCGCTCGCTCGAAAACGCTGCAATTTGCGGTTTGATCGGTCTCGTCTCGGATTGCTCCTTACTTCGAAAATTCACTCGCGGTGCAACAATAGAAAGTTTCTTTTTGACGAGATCCTGCAAACTGTGGCACTTTTTAGTCGATTGATTCAGAATATTTTGTAAATTTAAAGAAACAGAGTTCTTTAACCTCGAACGTTTACGTCTGAGCCGAGACTCTTCAATTTAGCAAATGAATTCTCTCGCATTCTAGAATATTCAGATTGATAAACCGATCGAACAAAGAGCAAAGCAGTTAATATCTAATAGTTAAGATTAAAACTTCCGACAGATCTGTTGCAGGGTCTCTCTTTCCGAAAGTTCTTCGCTCTCAGAACGAAACGATTCTTGTTCGTGTTCTGGTTGCCGCGCCATTCGTTGGACGGTTGTCTCTCCATCTTGGGAACGCGCGAATGACGGCTGAGAACAGGACAAAACGACGCTTGTATGTCGCGAGTATGTCGAGCAATCGTCCGCCAGCGGTCTTCTTCCATTGCTTCTACCTTTAACTTTCGAGCCAACGGCATGCAAAACGGAGTCGGGGAGTTGTTCCACGCCGGAAGAGGCACGTACAATGGCGGACGAGGTAAAAGCGTGTAGCGAACTCGTTCTCTCAATTCAACGAAGGTCAAGGGTTTCTTTCGGGGTTAAAAGCGAGAATTCACGTTCGCCCTCTTGCGAGAATCCCTCGACTCACTGGTGTAAGCGCGCTCTCTATTCGTTCCGTTGGAATCCGTGTTTTTTCCAGCCGGCATGCGGATCTTATCTTAGGCGTTCCGATGGAACGAAAATATCCATCGGTAACCTTCCTCTTTTTGGTCTCTTTTTCTTTCTTTTTTGTTTTTTTTTCTTTTTTTTTTTTTTTAAGTCTCTCGTCCATCCAGCTTCAGCTCGGAAGCCTTATCTTCCGTGTTCTCGTGTATATACTTTTCCCTCTCCTTTGTCCCCCTCGCGTTATCTGGATGGATGTTGCGAGGTCGATCTTGACGGAAATCGGAAATTTCTCGACGGCTCGGAGTCTCGTTTTTTCTCGCTTCGTGTTTAGAGGAATTTCGTATCGTTTGAACCTAATTTTAAAAGGAAATTCGACTTTCCTCGTCATCAGGGGTCATTTGAAATTCTACGATTTTAATCCAACACTCGGATACTCTCGTACAACTTAAGGTACTTCTCCATTAGAGAGTTTCTCTCGAGAGTACTCTCCATTTTTTTCTGTCTCAAACAGTTGAGCGATGCTCTCGGACAGCAACTCTCAGAAACGGTATCCATTTGCGAGAAATACTCTCGCGACAGTTTCACTCTCAAATGGAGAAGTACCTTTAGCATCGAAAATGTTCGTCTAGTACAGCGAAATGACGCGTAACTCTTAGAAATTTCAAATTTTCGAATCTGTGGATCGTATTTCCTGCCATTTGCTGCTGGATCCTTCCGAGTCGCGTCGCGGAGGTCAGAGCGTTTGGTCGTGGGCGGACAAAACGGTGGCTGAAAAGGTCTTCCACGACGTCGTAAACGAACCGAGGAATGG